GCGGGTTGGAGGTGGGCTGTATACCAGGTGGGCTTCTTCCCAGGTGCGCTGTGGTCTCTCACCTGGCAGTTTCTGAATCAAGCCTCATGAGATGCCAGACTCCATGAAGGGGCTCCTGGGCCCCTTACCATTATGTGTCAAGAGCCTTCACAGTGTTGTATTCTCTCCGGGGGATCTACCTGGGGAGAGCAGTTCAGACGCAGCAAGTGCTATTTCCTGCAGATTCATGTATGAAAGCGAAAATGAAAAGGAAACTGAAACACATGTTCTGTTATAACCTATTATGAGAGATTGGTTAAGAAAATGCTTATGTTCATACAGTGAAATAGTTTGCTGATATTTTAAGATATCAGTATATTAATTTAGCAAACATCTATTGAGCACACATCCCAGAAACCTGCCACACGCTGAGGCCGGTATGCCACGTAAGAAAGGCACATTCCTGCCCACGTGACACCTCTGGTCTGATGAAGGGGAGAAGACAATAAACGGGCGCATAAATGATTTCTGGGTGTGATTAACATGATGCTGAGTTAGAGAAGAAAGAGACATTGCTGCTCTGTGTGATTTCAACTATGTGAAGAACAAACACGCATAGAAAACAGCCAAGAGGAGAATATGCCAGACAAGTTAGAGGTGATTTTTATTTTCTTATTTGTTTCAGTATTTAATAATCATCCCTCTTTTATAACTAGGAAAAAATAACTTAAAAAGAGAATTGCAGGGCTTCCCTGGTGGCGCAGTGGTTGAGAGTCCGCCTGCCGATGCAGGGGACATGGGTTTGTGCCCCGGTCCGGGAAGATCCCACATGCCGCGGAGTGGCTGGGCCCGTGAGCCATGGCCGCTGAGCCTGTGCATCCGGAGCCTGTGCTCCGCAACAAGAGAGGCCACAACAGTGAGAGGCCCGCATACCGCAAAAAAAAAAAAAAAGAGAGAATTGCACTTCAAATTATGCCATATACTGGAATACTTGTTTTCATGTCTTATGAAGGCAAAAAAAACAGAGACTCCCTTGGTAGAAGTAAAAAGAGCATGTTCACCTTTAAGTACAAAAAAAAAGGAGGAAAATGTCTCTAGAATCACCACTATCTAAACCTTACCCTCAGGTCAGGTTGTCTGCACAGAACCTTTTAGGACAGGGGAGGTCTCCCTCCGTCCTCCTGCCGTCTCCCTGCCGCTCTTTCTTCTGTGCCCCTAACTCACCAGCACGGCACCTGGGCCCTCAGAGGCTCTAGTGAATATCTCTTGCAGATGGAGAGAAGGAACAGAAATTTAAACCGAGTATGAGCAACCATCTTCTTGGTCCACTTGTGAATCTTTGGTACAAACGTGGCAGAAGTGCACTTTTTTTTTTTTTTTTTTTGCGGTACGCGGGCCTCTCACTGTTGTAGCCTCTCCCGTTGCGGAGCACAGGCTCCGGACACGCAGGCTCAGCGGCCACGGCTCACGGGCCTAGCCGCTCCGTGGTATGTGGGATCTTCCCGGACCGGGGCACGAACCCATGTCCCCTGCATCGGCAGGCGGACTCTCAACCACTGCGCCACCAGGGAAGCCCCAAAAGTGCACTTTTAATGCATCTTCGAAGTTTCATCACTTGTCCCCGGCAAATATTTCTGGCAAATTTCTGAATTTATAAATTGCTTCCAATTTTATCAAATCAGAAAGGTGTCAAGCTCTTAATCATCTGAAAAGGAGCTCAGCTTCTTGTGTCAATAAGAGAAATGCAAAGTGAACTTCTCTGAATTGTGAGATTGTCCATCCAAAGCTGTGAGGAAGCAGGTATGTTGGTATATTCCTGGCAGGGGTGTGATACGACCAGACCCCATGGAGGGCAGTTTGGCAATGTCTGTCAAAATGACAAATTCACATCCTTTTTGATCCCTGCCCCTCCCCCGCACCATTCTACTTTTACAAATGTAGGCTACAGATACACTTACACACATGTGAAATGATATGCTCCTTAGATTTTATTTAACAAACTCTGCGCAACAGCTCCCATATGACAGTCACTGTTCTAAATCTCTTGCCATCATTAAAGTCATTTAATCCCCCAAGCTACTCTATGAGGTAGATATTATTATTATTATCCCCACTTTACAGATGAGGAAACTGAAGAACAGAGAGAGATTAAGTACTTTGCCCAAGACCACACAGCTAGTAGGCGGCAGAGCCAGGATTCAAACCCAGACTGTGCAGCTCCAGGGTCCTTGCTCTGCCAACCTCAACAGGTACCTCCTCGTGTGACCACAGTTATGGCACTGTTTGTAATTGCAAACATTTGGAAACAATTTACGTGCCTGTCAAGAGGGGATTGTTAAGTAAGTGATGCGATACCTCTCTGATGCAGTGATGGAAAGATGACCAAGATGCATTTTAATGGAAAAAGCAAAGTGCAGAAGGTGCTCCCAGGTGTGTTAGTAAAGGGGACAGGGCAGAGTATGTGCTTGTATTTGCTTGGATAAGAATAAAATACCACCGGAAGGGTGCTCAAGAAACAGGGAACCGGTTGCCATGGAGAGAGATGGCGGAGAGAGATGGGGAAGCAGCTGGAGGGGGACTTCCACTGTGTTCCCTTTTATACTTGTAGATTTTGAGCCATTCACATTTGTTGATTATTTGGAAATGTAAATCAAAAGCCCTGAGTACCACAGCTTTTTCATGTTTTTTTTTTTCCTTGACCATATAACCAATTTGTTTCTAGATTTTTAAATTAAACTCAATTTTTAAAATTCGTGTGTGTGAAAGGTAATATAATATATGCCATGGTTTGCTTGTTTTTTTAATCAAACAATCCAGAAGAGAAAACAATAAAAATGAAGTCTCTCTTCCATTCCTGAACCCCAGCCTCCCATCCTGGGCCCCTCCTGCAAGACAGCTCCTACTGCTGGTTTCTTGGAATTTTTTTTTTCTTTTCAGCTTTATTGGGATATAATTGACATGTAGCACTGATACGTGTAAGGCATACAGCATAATGACTTACACATATTGGGAAATGATTGCCCCAATAAGTTTCGTTAATATCCATCATCTCTTATAGACACACACAAAGAAAGAGGAAAAAAACTAGGTTTTTTCCTTGTGATGAGAACTCGTAGGATCTGCTCCCTGGTTTCTTGGAATTCATTCTGCTCTCCGCCCTCACCCAGGGCGTGTGCCGATCCCGAGCTTGGATCAGCCCCTCTTCTCTTGTTTGTCCTACCAAAACTCTATCCGAAAATAAGAATCTAATTTTAGTGATGAGGCCTTTGGTGGGTGTTTTTGGAGACATCATATAGGACTGAAATAAATCCCGATTCAAATTATAGCTCACAGAGCCCTTGTTCCCTGCCCTGTAGTTATTATGCTCCCCCTTAATGACAGTTCATCACTCAGCAGTTCAAATGTCCAGAGCCTTTGTGGTTTTGAAATGTAGCTTTAATTTGATCCCCGGGAGTTGAGAACGGATGATCGTTCATAGACAGGCCCTGTGTTTGCTGCACCTGCACCCATGTGAAGTATCAATACTTCTCCTGTAAGTGTCGCTCACTGCATTAGGGAAATGGCCACGGAAAGAGGCCGGCCCTTTGGAGACCCATGTCCTGGGAGACAGCTCAGGACGGTTCTTTTTTCTTTTTTTGCGGTACGCGGGCCTCTCACTGTTGTGGCCTCTCCTGTTGCGGAGCACAGGCTCCGGACGCGCAGGCTCAGCGGCCATGGCTCACGGGCCCAGCCGCTTCGTGGCATGTGGGATCTTCCCAGACCGGGGCACGAACCCGTGTCCCCTGCATCGGCAGGCGGACTCTCAGCCACTGTGCCACCAGGGAAGCCCCAGGACGGTTCTTTTAAGTCGAAGGACCCACATCCTTCAATCCTGGCCAGGCCAGGAGAGGCCCAAGCAGTGCAGGGCCTGACTTGGGGGCTTCGGAGGCTGCAGGCTTTCAGGACCTGGGGCCTTAGTTGGCCAGGATGATGGTTAAAAAGAAACGGTGCTGCTCTGTGCCCCGCCGTGGGACAGAATCGATTCGTGTTGGGTTGATCCACTTCTCAATAAACCCTGAGGGGCTGGGGCAGCCGGAGCCCATTAGCACAAGCCATATGTCCTCCAGCAGGTCACACTGGCCTTCGGCCCCTCGCCTGAGTGACAGTGACAGCAGTGACCTCCCCGACATGGTCACACAGTCCCAAACGCTGGGCACGCCGTGGTGAGAAGGGAAGCTGGCCCATGGCCCGTGGTCACGTCCAACCCGGCCCTTGTGTGCTTTATTGCATCAGGGATCCCGCCTGGACGTTGCAGGCCAGGTCTCCCCTTCTATTCTCACCTGAGGATACTGAGCAGCATGGGCCTCGCTCCCTGGTGGAGGCAGTGGTTGAGGGGGGGGGGCGCCTGCTGCCCCCGCCCCATCCCTGTGCACAGCCAGCTGCTCTCCCATGAGCCTCTGTCCTCCCCCCACACCCAGACCAGCGTGGGTGCCAGGCATCCTCCTGTTTCTGAGGAGGTCCTCCCCACACCCAGCCTCGGTGGACATTTGGGTTTGTGCCACCCGCCAAACTTGCCCACCTGCCCTGGACTAACTGGGATGGAAGGAGCCCAAGACGCAGGATGGAGCATCCAAAAAGCAGGACTCCTCAGCGTAACCGAGTTACCACATTTGGGGACAATGGGACAAGGCTGAGTGCCAGGCCCTGCCCCAGATCCACCCACTGGATGTTCCAAGATGGGGAGGGGGCTGCTGCCCATCATGGGGGTGTGGGCCAATGGGGGGAGGCTCTGCCGAGACCCAGGGACAGAGACTGTGGCCTGGGCAGGAGGTGGGTTCCTGGTCCCCAGATGACGAGGAGGGGAAGATGCTGGGCTCAGAGCCCTGCTGTCGGGGGGAGGGCTCGGGAGCCTGAACTCGGCAGGGCCAGGCACTTCCGTGGGTGACAGAGGCCCCCGGCCAGACCAAGGGGCCAGAGCACATCAAGGGCTTCCCGAAGGAGGCTCTTGACCCTCGGGTGAGTCTGGGTCCGGTGCCTTCCAGGGAAGTTGAAAGAGTGGAGCCTCATCCTGTACGGCACGGCCCAGCACCCCTATACCACCTTCAGCGCCCATCAGTCTCGCTCCCGGATGCTGGAGCTCTCGGCCCCAGAGCCAGAGCCACCCAAGGCCGCCCTGTCGCCATCCCAGGCCGAGGTTCCCGAGGACGAAGAGGACTACACAGGTAATGAACCTGAGGCCGGAGGAGACGCTCATTTTTCCAGTGTAGCTCTTAAAATGCGGGCTGTTCCCAGCGGAAGGCGGGGCTAGGGTTGTAGGCCTTCCTCTTTCCTGGGAGTCGTAATAATGATGGTAATTTGCACTCACAGCTCCTCCCTCCCATGGCTCTCCTAATATTTTACAGACCAGTAAGTATGCTTCAAACCAGTAAGTACTCGCCAACCTTCCCAGGCCGGGAATAGAGGTTCCCTATGCCCAACCAGAACGGGGACTTGCCTCCTGGCTAGTGACACTCCTCTGGGGCGCCCCCTTTTCATCAGGGGCCCCCGTCTTCAGTCTCAGCCTCCTGACCCTCTCCCTAGTCCATCCACTTTCAGTCCTTGTGACCAGAATGTGGGAAGGACCAGAGTGCTACCGGGAGCCCAGGACGGTTGGGCTGAGTGAGCACAGCCAGGAGTTGCTGGCAGTGCAGATCTTGACCCGCCCAGGGGCCTGGGAGAAAGACCCAGCACAGGGTCTCAGACCTGATGTCAGAGGACACTGATGCTGCAAGAAGCAGCTCAAGCCTCTCACAGGAAGTAAAGATGCCTCGTTGCAAATCCTCTTCCTCCTGCTGCGCCCCTGCAGGGTGGCCCTGGGCTCTGGGCCTGCAGCGCTCCACGCTGAGAGCTGGGGCAGCATGCAGAGGACGTTCCCAGCTGCCGGGCTGGGCACAGTTTCGGTCAGCGAGCTAGGTGGCAAGCTCTTCCTTTCCCTCTGAACCATCCCAGTGATTTGTGAGAAATGGAGCCTTTCTGGTTGGGCATATTTTCCTTAGCTAAATGTTACAGCTACTTGATAAATGATGGGTGAGATCTAAGAATACTGATGCTTTGAGTTATCTAATAGCTTCTGAAGAAAAAAAGTAACAAAATGGGAAACTCCACCAATACAGATCAAGCGTAAATTATGGCCGATTCAATTTTAAACTTCTTCTACCGTGCCTTTAAAATGGAGCATTGAATTATGTATGGACTGATCTGCTCTGTTTCCCCCTGTGATTTATAACCTGTGGCAAGGTTCGGTAATTATTAATAAAGGACTGATTTTCCCCCCCTTAAAATCTGCTATGACTCTAACCTCACACTGTCCTGGAATCTCACTCTAACTGTTCTGCAGCCCAGGCCGCTCAGTCCTTCCCAAGCCTGGCCCAGGTGGTTAGAGGGGTCTCTGGGACTAAGGTGTGTTTCCGACACTTGGGGAAGTTCCGTGCAATCTCAGGGGCAAGTGGGGCGGGTGCACCAGTCACAGCAGGAAAGAGCGAGAGAGGGGAGGGGGCAGGAGGGGTGTGGCGTGGAGGGAGAGGAGGAGAGGGCTTCGGGGGGAGGGGGAGCAGTGTGGAGGAGCATCTCGTTGGTGCCCTGGGGGAAGCCCTCCGAGTCACAGACAAACAAGCCCAGGTGCAGAAGCACAGGGAGAAAGAGAGGGTGCTGGGTAGGGGAGATTTTGAGGTGGGGCGATGATTCTCGAAGACTTTCTAAATATTTATTTATTTATTTGGTTGTGTCTGGTCTTCGTTGCAGCAGGTGGGCTCCTTAGTTGCGGCACGTGGGCTCCTTAGTTGCCAGCAGGCGGGCTCCTTAGTTGTGGCATGCAAACTCTTAGTTGCGGCACGTATGTGGGATCTAGTTCCCTGACCAGGAATCGAACCCAGGCCCCCCCACATTGGGAGCGTGGATTCTTAACCACTGCGCCACCGGGGAAGTCCCTGTTGATGCTTTCTGTGGAGCTTCATGCACAGCTGAGGGGTGAGCTGGCAGGGGAGGCTGCGTGCCTTTCGGAGGCGGAGCTGGTCATACAGACAGTGGGGGTGGGGGGCGCTGGGCCCCGCCCTCTGTCCGGCAGCAGGGGGCACCAAGCAGCGCTGTGATGGGGGCACACAGGTGGAGGGCCAGCTCTCCCCGGGACAAGGAGTAAAGGGGAGGAGGTGAGTGAGGGCCGGAGAGGGGAGTCCAGCCGCCCATGGACAGTAAGGATCCCAGGACGGAAGGGGAGCGGGGCTCCTGGGGGGGTCAGGGGTGTGACAGGCGCCTCGCCAGAGCCATCTGGACAGCTGCCCTGTGAAGGGGTCAGCTGTGAGGTGGACACGAGTAGGGGACACTCTTAGCCACTGTCACCACAAGTGGATTGGGATGAGGCAAACAAGGACCAAGTCAAATGAGAATCGATCCCCAAATCGAGTGAGTCTGGGGCCTGGGAAGGGGTGGGGGCACGTTGTGCTCCAGCACGACCCCAGCGCCCTCCCCCACCCAGACCACAAGGAGCGTCTAGTGCATCCCCAGGGATGCACGCGGCTCTGAAAGGGGTTCACGGGGGGACCCACAATGAGAACCTTGGAAACGTCGGCAGCGGTAAACCTTCAGGGAGGGAAGCCAAATACAGTTGAGTCTAACACTGGGAAGGTCTGGAGGCCCTTTAAAGAGGAGTGAAGAGGGCTTTGTGCCCCTCAGCAAAGACCCATTGTGGGTGGCAGAGAATGGGGGCTTTTGTCTCTCCCTCACATCCCCAGGAAACTCTGGTGGCTGGCAAGACACCTCTTCTTTGCTTCTGAACTCACTCCCCACCCCCTCCAACAACTAAAACCTTGTAGAAGGTTGTTTTTTCTTCCAAGGACTCAAAAACTTTCATAACGCCCCGCCGGGCCCCTCCCTCCCCACATGGGGAGGCTTTCCAGAACCATCTCCCAGAGGAGGAAGAGCGTCAGGGGCCAAGGGAGGTGGGGGTCCCAGCACAGCACCGGCCCTGGCCCCCAGATGAGGAGGACACCTATGGAGGGGCCGCCCGGCCTGAGGGCAAGAGCCAGTCAAACTGGGCCCTCCCTCGAGGCGCAGGTGGAGGGGAGACCTAGGACAGGGCGCCCGATGGGGTCCCCCAGCTCCTGCGTTTTTCTCCGTCGCTTTGACAACACCACACAGGCTTCCAGAGTTAGAATTTGGGGATCGAGGGAAGACAGGATGCCCCCCTCTGAGGGTGAGAGAGAGGGGAGCTGAAAAGGGCTCAGCTCCCGCCCACCCCAGACCCACCAGGGTCATGGAAACCCACCTGCCTCCTTCACCGCGTGTGAGGGACATGGCGCATTCTATTCCAGCCTCTCCCGCTTTATTTCCACCGGATCTTCACTGCTTGGCCGCAGTTTCCTTAGCGCCTTCAAGCCCTCAACGCCCTGTATCGCGTTGCTCTTTACTTCACGATGGAAATCAGAGTTGGTGGCTGGTCCAGCATTGTAACTCCGCTGCAGGGGAGGACGCTGCATGCGGCTGTCCCCTGCCCCTCCTGCCCCACCATGGCTGCTCCTCTAGAACCTCACAATGCCCGCCTTCACCTACCCGGGTCCTCACCCACCACCGGCTGTCCTGCTTGTCCTCGGGCCATCCCTGTCTCGAGTCATCAGACCCTCTGACACTGGAGCCCAGAGCCAGGCTTGGCTCCCAGCTGAGGCGGGTCCTTCAGGGGTGGGTGCTCTGGCCCAGCAGGGGCCTGTGAGACCCGGACATGGGGTCCTAGGAGACTGGACGTGATTGAGAAAGCATCTCTATGGGTGAAAGGAAATGCTTGTTTCTTTAAGGTGTGTGCCATCCGGAGTGTGGTGACAAAGGCTGTGATGGCCCTAATGCAGACCAGTGCTTGAACTGTGTCCACTTCAGCCTGGGGAGCATCAAGACCAGCAGGTAAAGGGCTGGGCCTCCCCTGCGTGTCCTGGAGACGCCCAGCGTCCCGCTAAGGTGGCCAAGCTGTGTTCTCCACCCCCGCAGCCTGGCACCATACTTAGGAATTAACCAAACACCCTGGAAAGGAGATCACCCTGAGGGTCACTGCTGGGGAATTTTATGTTTTGGTAACCTTTTATTCTCATCTTATAAATAACTCGTGACCATGAGAACTCAGAGGCCGTGGCATTGTTTTGTCTGTGCTTATAAACTTTTTTCTCTCCATTTTGCTAAACAAAAATGGGTCGTATTGAGCATGACAACCACTTGGGAACTGCAGACAAATGTCATCTTAAGGGCCGGTACTGTCCTAAAAGCACAGTCGGCCGTGAATGAGGAGCCCCCATCCCTGAGCACCCGGGTAGGGGTGCAGCCCTCCTGGGGAGCACACACCCACCAGGGCTCTGGCAGGGGTGCGGCTGGGACTCTCACGGTGTCCCCGGGGCCCAGACACAGCCGCAACCTCCCTGCGCTGGGCGAAGACGTTTGTCCTGCTGGCTGGACACAGCCTGGAGACCTCTCACTGCCCGTGGGCACTGTCAGTGGGGTTTTGCCGGAGCTGAACGTTCCAAAAGTCAGCTACCATCGTGGTGTTGCCCAAGGAAGCCAAGCACAACCTGCGAGTGCCCCCGTCCACCTCGGGGAAACTTTGAAAGGGCAGGAGTCCCAGGTTCCCATGCAAGCCCTCAACCCTCTCCTGCATCAGGAACTTCTCAGGGGCATTAATGGTTTACCTCTGCCCTGGGGCCTTTGTTTCCTCAGAGTCTGCTGACCGGGAGGCAGCTAAGGCTTCCCTCCCAGCCAGCTGCCCTGCCTTGGCCTGACCCTCGTGCTGCCGGGTAGGCGTGGGGCTGGGGCCAGTAGGAAAGTCCTCTCCCGATCTGCTCCCACAGGAAGTGCGTGAGCGTGTGCCCCTTGGGCCACTTTGGGGACATGGCAGCCCGCCGCTGCCGCCGCTGCCACAAGGGATGCGAGACCTGCTCCGGCCGGGGCCCCACCCAGTGCCTGTCTTGCCGCCGCGGGTTCTACCACCATCAGGAGGTGAACACCTGTGTGACCTTCTGTCCCGCTGGATTTTATGCTGATGAAAGTAAGTGTGTGTCCCCGGGCCTAGAAATGAGGAGTCAGCCCCGCTCTGGGCTGGGGTCCCCTCTCCTGGGAGAATTTTCCCCACCCTCTGCTTCCTGTGTACTCTGTCCTGAGAAAGGACCCTTAACGGGAGGGAGGGAGAGAGGATGAAATCAAAGCCCTTGGACCCTGTTAGTGGATAGCAGTTCACACCCAAAACCTGGCCAGGGTGGTTCAAAGTGACTCAGAAATGGAGCCCCCGTAGTCTGGGGTTGTCACACTTCTGTAGGTCAGTGTCCATTATTCAGGATGGACAGGGAGGTAGCTTGAGCCAGTGGCTCTCAGGCTCAGACCGATTTCAGACATCCAAATAGAAAGGCTTCCGGGTAGGCCCTGCAGTCTCTCTTGGAGCAGTGGATGTGGGCGCTGGGCGGGGTGCAGGACCCAGCACCGGCTTGTGGCCTTGGTGGTTGAAACTGGGTGAAAGCCCCTCCCAGCAAGAGCCGCTAAGCTGAAACCAGGGTGTAAGGCCAGGGAGGTTTGCGGGTCTCCATGAATGAAGAGGAGCCTGCTGCCGGGCATAACTGGGTTCAGGAGGACAGGTTGTTCTTGGCTGTGCACTTTACATAGTGACCACACTCCCAAGAGGTGGGCGACGCTTTCCTCACCTTGCAGGTGGGGAAGTGAAGCCGAGCGAGGCCAACGGGCCCACAGCTAGCAATGACCCAGTGAACTCAGAGCAGCACAGGCGTCCTGCCATCCTGCCTGTCCTGGAAAGTGGAGTGGTTGGGCTCTGGGGCCGGGACCTCATGCCAAGGTTTGAACACTCACCTCAGCCTGGAAGAGGCCAAAGAGAGGGCTTGGGTTAAATTGATGGAGGACAGTTTTCAGATGACGTGTTGGCCGTTGTGCAGGGAGGGGGCAGCGCTTCCCAGAGCTCGCCTCTGGCCCGCGTCCTGCAGGAGGGGTCCCATCACAGCGTTGCTCTCACTCCTCTGGGGAAGGAGCCAGGGATCCTTAAGGACATATAAAGCCATGGAATAACCACACTCTTTAGAGGGGACACAGAGTCATGCAAGACACGTTTCACAGGCTTTGCAAACACCTGCCCTGGGCTGCAACCAGACCTGTTTTCGGGGCAGAGGCTCCTCCATCCCTACCCCCCACCCCACCCCTGGGCAAAAACCAGCCACCTCGGTCACCCCGAGAGACCCCCAGACGCCCTCGCTGAGCCCCTGCAGCGTGTGTGTGATGCCACCTGTGGGGCCCCGAGGAGGAGGCCCCGAGCACAGGGTGGTGCTGACTGGGTGCCAGGATGAGTGACCTGGGTAATCACCGAGACCCAGGGCTTCCCCAAGGTGTGGTGGGTGTCAGAGATTCATGTCTGTGCAGGTGACCGCCAACGTGTCAGTAAAGACCCCTGTGAGGGCCCTGGGTGGGTGGGGTCACTCAGGGGAACCCTCAGGCCCCACCGGTCACACTTAGGAAGACTGGCACCTCCCTAAACTCTGCTCTGCTGGCTCCAGTCCCGGGCGAAGATGCAGGACTAGAGCACGTTTCCTCTGGAAAGGGCCCACCTCCAAGCCTCAAGGTCGTGTGAAGACTTCACTCCAGGAAAGAGGTGCGAGGCCTGTGATCTGACACCTGGGCACGCGGTCTCCACATGCCTCTGGCCATCGGTCACTATGTCACCTGTCTAGCGACAGCGCTGGTGACGGCTGTTCCATCAACCCCGTCTTGGAACACCCGAGTCTCGTTTGCCCGGGTTTGATCCACATCCACTCTTCCCACCTCTTCTCTTTTCCTCCTCTTATTTTTCTCCAGATCAGAAAAACTGCCTTAAATGCCACCCAAGCTGTAAGAAGTGCATGGATGAACCAGAGAAATGTACTGTCTGTAAAGAAGGATTCAAGTAAGACCCTCCCTTCAGACCTGAGGCGCGGCCATGGGTATATGCTGGTATAAGTGTCTGTCATTGATTTACCAAGTGTTTGCCTCCTTTTCCTAAAAGCTAAAATTTCAGAGGCCCAAAGCCTTTCAGGATACAGATTCCGAGTCAAAATCAGATTTCCACTTAGAGATTGGTGTTTATGATAGAAAGTCAGAGGATGGGGAAAATGTCTACATTTTATGCAACATTTGGAGAATTGGTAAGAGCGAGAGTGGATCCTCTCATAGAAAGTAGGGCTGGCGGCTGGAAGGGTGGGGAGTTCTAACAAAGCACAGAGCTCCCTTTCTTAGGCACCGAGCCCCACTCACTCCAGTTTCCTTCCCAGTCTGGATGACTGAGGGAAGGGCAGAGGGGGCTCGCTCCCTGGAGATACTCTGTAAATTCCTGGTTTGCCTGGCTCCAAGCTCAGCCCACGCCTCCTTTAAAAGCATCTGACCAAGCTAATGATTTTTTACTAGAATATTTTGGAATGTTGGTGTAGCCTGTTTACTGCCCCCAAATATACATTACTTCTTCCTTGAAGTTATCATCTAGAAGTTTAGAAATCATTCTGTGCAAAATTGTGCTGTGGACCCTCCCGCGATCCAGTCTTGAACCAGGGCCTGTACTTTAAGAAGAAAGGGACGGGTCAGCGAGGGCAGTGAGCAGGGGCGGGGCCAGGGGGCATCACCGGGCTCTTGTTAAAATGCAGGTGCTGGGCTTCCCTGGTGGCGCAGTGGTTGGGAGTCTGCCTGCTGACGCAGGGGACGCGAGTTCGTGCCCCGGTCTGGGAAGATCCCACATGCCGCGGAGTGGCTGGGCCCGTGAGCCATGGCCACTGAGCCTGTGCGTCCGGAGCCTGTGCTCCGCAACGGGAGAGGCCGCAGCAGTGAGAGGCCCCCGCACCGCAAAAAAAAAAAAAAAAAAAAAATGCAGGTGCTGACCCGGCAGCTCTGTGACTCTGCGTTTCTACCTGGCCCCCAGGGGACAAGGATGCTGCCGTTCCTGCAGCTTCCCCTCCCCTCAAATTCAACTCCCCAGGGTTGAATTCTTTTGCAGTAGGAGTGAAGGAAGAAAACCAGCATTTTACTCCAGCTGCTCTCACCAACACTGCCTCATTTAATCTTCACAGCAACCTATGACGTATGTGACATATATGGCATTTTTCTTCACATTTTACTAACGGGGAGAGGTACAGTTTCCAGGAGCAGCATGACTAAGGTTCCCCAAGCCCGCCCCACCCCCTCCAGATCAGGGGATTGGAGAGAAGAGGGTCCACTACCCCACGCTCCTGGGAGTCGGAGGAGGGAAGGGGGACAGGACCCCAGAGTCACACGTCATGCCCGTTCTCTGACCCAGGGAGCTGGACGAGGCAGGATGAGGAGTGGAGGGGTGACATGTGGAGGAAGGGGAGCCTCAGAAGGGAAAGGCGGAGAGGTTCAGCTGGCCGCCACTGGGGCCTGGAAGCTCAGCTGTGGGGACCCTCCCGCAGGGCCCCCCACCCAGGCCGGAGACTCAGGGTGTCAGGGGGAGGCACTGTGTTTCCAGCTCCCTGGAGCCTGTTTCCCAGTGGGGATGTGCTGGAGGGGGCGGTTCATCCCTGCTCCTGTGGGTCAGGTGGGGGAGAGGAGGTCAGATGCTCAGGCCAGGAGCTGTGTCCTGGGGAGAAAATGCCTCTGAGGCAGCAGCCCCCCAGGTGGAGGCAGCGGTGCAGCCGTGATGAGCAGCCAGAGAGGACTGCGGACGCTGAGACATCATGGGCCGTAATCCACAGAAAGCTTTCTTTTATTGCCCAATATCCTCTTTAGCTGTGGCTTCAAATCATCGGCCCCACTGAAGCAGTGGGGGCGGCCAATCCGTGCGTCCATCTCTTTAGGCTGGGAACATCCATTAGTAAAGACTTGACTGAACAGCTGGTGCAGTGGCCTGGGGGCTGGGACGAGAGGGAGCCCTGGGGTCGGCTTCCGCCTTGATACAGAGATGCTTTCAGCCCCACCAACGTCCCTCCCCACCAAGTGCAGGAGCCTCTGGATCTCACAGACCCTGGGGCACGTGTTTGATGTGTCAGGCAGCAGATCCATCTACAGCATGTGCAGCAGTGAGCTTGGGAACTGAAGCAGCCGTGGCAGCCAACACCCATTCACACTGCTGGGTGCCCGACACCTGCCAGGGTTCTGTCCTCAAAGTAACCTGACCACGCAGGAGCCTTGGTGGACAGCTGAGGGGACGGAGGGGCAGGAAGCTTGGCTGGCCTGCCCGGGGTCGGGGCTTCACGGCTGGGAAGGGGCAGAGGGTCTGCTCCAGAAGCCGTGCACTCACTGCCTGGCCGAGCGAGGTGAGGGAGGAAGGCCAGAGCCACAGCAGGCAGGGCTGCTAGGTCCCAGGAGCGGATTTTATCTCAGGTTCATTGTGAAGCACAGACGGTTTCCAGCAAGGGCGAGGCAGGGACTCAGGGTCAGTCTTGCTGCCAACCCCACTCACGCATCACAGGTGCCAAGGCTTCACCCAAGCGGCTGCGCCCAGTGAGACCGAGCCAGTGGGGTGACCCACCCGTGCTTGAGTTCTCCTCGTGGGCCTTGGGTTCTAGCGTGATTGGTGTCAGTGAAGAGAAGGTGTCACAGAGCAGAAGAGCACAGAAGGCGTGGAGGGCATAGCCTCCTGCACAAGGACCGAGGCCACGGGGCTTTGGGAAGGAGCTTCGGGACCACCGGCCACAAGAAGGCAGAGACTCTGCTTCCAGGCCCGGGTGTCCCTTCCAGCCGGCCTCGAGATGCTGCAGGACAGCTTTGCCGCTTTCATTAGTTCAGAACCTTAAGTGACTCTGAGAGCTGTGCTTTAGCAACTTTCAGTTCCTCTCATGAAAGACATTTGAGGGCAAATCATAATTGAATTAGAGCTTTGGAAAGGATATAAAAGACTGCCTTTTTTTTCTTTTCAACAGCCTTGCACGGGGCAGCTGCATTCCAGACTGTGAGCCAGGCACCTACTTTGACTCTGAGCTGATCAGGTGCGGGGAATGCCATCCCACCTGCCAGACCTGCGTGGGTGAGTTCACGGCCTGCGGGGGCCACATTTGGAGCCCAAGTTCCCCAGGCCGGTGGGCTGACTACCTGGAAACCCAGAAAGCCCTAGGACTTGCGGGCTTCCGTAGGTGTTGCAGCATTAAATCCCAGAAGCCCTACCAGGGGCTGGGAGAGGGGAAAGGGGAATAGTGATTAATGGGTACAGAGGTTCACCTTGGGAAGATAAAAAATATCTGGGGATGGATGGATGGTGGTGATGCTTGCATAACAATATGAATGTACTTAATGCCACTAAACTGTATGCTTAAATGGTTCGTATGGTCAGTTGTACGTTACGTACATTTTACCACAAATTTTAAAATTAAAAAGAAAAACCACAAGGGCCCACTTGGAGCAGCCTGGGTTTCCCGGTGTCAGGAGCCCAGCCAGGTAGGGGATGCTTTCAGGCCGGGAAGGGATGCTAACTGCTAGTGAGCTCTTGCGTGGAACCCAGCCCTCGCCTCAGGGTAGCAGTGCCGGAGTTTCACGATTCATCGATTCTTCAGGGAGAGGCTGGGCAAGTTCCCGTGGTGAAGGAAGAAGGCTTTTTAAAACATAGCCTTAGTTCCTTGTACCTGTCTTCCCTATCTTGAACATTTTACTCAAAGAGGAAAAGATCTCTGTAAACAATTTTATGTGTATTGTAATTTCCCACAGAGATGATAGCATAGCTGCCTTCCAGGCACAGTTTTTATGCAGAATCACAGAGAATGATTGTCTTGTTGGGTTTCGTGCTGCAGACTTGTTGGCACCGGGATATTGTAGCACATTCTGAGCTTGTGGACTCATACGTATTTCTGATTGAATCTTCTCCTCTTGATCCTCCTTCCTGACCCAGCGCTTTGGTCCTTGTTCTAAGAAACCCACATCAGGTTGAGTTTTTGCTGCAGTAACGCTGTAAGAATTAGGTCTCTGCTGAGTCACTGATGCCGTAACATGGGTCCCGGGATGCGTGGCAGGACGGGGCAGCCGTCCCAGTGTGGCCACGTGAGCCCATGTCAAGGGGCCCTTGACCCTTGACCCGAAGTGGACATGCCATGGCAAAGACCAGCACTCTCAAGGCCTTTGGAAGATGTGCCTTCCTGGGGCCCCCTCCTGGGACAACCCCCCGAAAGGCAGGGGCCCAGCAGCCTTTCCTAGCGTTTGCCTCGTGGCCTGTCATTTTCATTGTTTCTTTGACTCATTGTTTAGCCCAGGTTGAAAGAGCATTGCCGATGTCACTTATTTAAATTTCATAGACACTTGAATCCATAAAATTCAGGCGTGTAGCTTTATAATGCTTTTGATTTCATTTATTCAGTGTGGTTTCCTTTGTCTGCATCCGCGCACTGCCTGTTGGCAAACAGTCTCTCGCTCAGTCCAGAGACCTCTTTGTCACTTGAGGGGTCAGGCTGTCCAGGGGTCTCCCCTGCTCCCCACACCCGCCTGCCCGGGTTCCCTCTATGCTCTGGGACGTGTGCATCCACCCCGGCCACTGCTAGGACAGGGACCCCACCCACTTCCAGCGCTGAAGGCTTCTCGCTGCCTGTCACGGTCCCTGTCGGGAGCCCCTGGCCACCCGGCCCTCCCCTCCCAGCTCCCTCTCCGTGACCACTGCTGCTCCCCGCCTGTGAGGGGCCTGGGTGCGGTGTGGGGAGAGTCGTGGTTAGGCACGAGTACAGCATGGAGCACGGTGGCATCTGTCCCCACCCCAGGCCAGCAGTACCTTGGGACACTCAGTGGTGACTCAGTAGGAATAAGCCTCTTCCCATCCTGGTCCAAGTACCCAGAGCCTCTGGCACGGATGATGTGATCCCTTGGTGAACCCATCTGCCTTGGGTGGGTGCAGGGGACCCAGCAGGGCATGGCGCGTGGGTCAGCGGCTAGCGGCCTGTGGGGCACATGTGTGTGGAGTTGAGGGGCATGAGGGCCGGTCCTCACCCAGGGGTGCACGACATGAAATAGCAGATAAAAACCACCATGACAGGTCAAGAGAGAGATGGCAGAAGAAAGGAACGCGTTTTGTATCTTAGCACCCTTCATAGCACGTTTTTCCTGCCTTTTGAGTAAGGGCCCTGCGTTTTCACTTTGTCCTGGGCCCCACAAATGATGCAGTGGATCCTGCCTAAGCATCACCCATTTTGCTACGATTTTTATGATCTGTGTCCGCTTTTCAAGTGTCTGACGCCTGGAAAGCCTTGTGACTAAATGGAATCCCTGAGAGACTTTGAATTACAAAGTTCACAATGTTTAGTAGTAGTGAAAGTAGTTGCTCTAGGAGATTTGTGTTGACTCAGCTTTTGTCATCGTGGTAAAAGATCCGGGACATAAAACCTACCACTGTGAAGTGCGCGCCTCAGCGGCACTGAGCACCTTCACGTTGTCACGGGGCCGTCGCCTCCGCCCGTCCCAGGGCTTTCTCTTCTTCTAACCCCAGCTGAACGGGTTTCATCCGCTTTTTTTTTTTTTTTGCGGTACACGGGCCTCTCACTGCTGTGGCCTCTCCCCTCGCAGAGCACAGGCTCCGGGCGCGCAGGCTCAGTGGCCATGGCTCACGGGCCCAGCCGCTCCGCGGCATGTGGGATCTTCCCGGACCGGGGCACGAACCCGTGTCCCCTGCATCGGCAGGTGGACTCTCAACCACTGCGCCACCAGGGAAGCCCCATCCACTTTTAAGTTTAGCAAATTGAGCATTAAACTAGGAGCAAACAAGAATGAGTGTTCTTTCCCATTGCAGAAGCTCCTTAGGCACTGGGGACCCTGGCGGCCCGGGCAGTAGGACATGGGTGGTGGGGTTTGTGGAGGGCACCAACGCCAGATGCTCCCTGCAGATAAGTGATGGGGGCTGGGGCACAAGAGCAGCCGTCCATCCAGAAGGACATAAACCAGATGCATTTGTGGGGCGGCTCTCCCACTGCGTTGCTGCAACAGAGGGAGGACACCCCCGTGGAGACCCCAGGCAGGTGGGCAGCTACTCCTCATGAAGGCCCTGGAACCCCAAGGGCTCCCGCTTCTGCCTCACGCTCAGTCCTGGGCGAGCTCAGAATCCCCTTCCAAGCTGGAAGCTATGGTTCTGAGAGCAGAAACCAGCTGCCAGAGCACCAAGCCTCGGGGCTGGCAGAGCCGCCCTGCGGACCTCCGTCTGCAAAGGGGTCCTCCCGTGACGCAGCCCAGAGGCCCCCCGTAGGTCCAGAATTCACTCCACCTCTGCCTCAGCTGTCAGGCCTCAAGCCGAGACAGGACCACAGTGGGGGGAGGTCTAAGGAGGGGCTGTGGTCTCCGTGAGCATCTGAGATGGTTTCTCCCTGAGTTCGATCCTCCAAGGCAGCCAGTGGCCACCTCGCTGCCTCTCTGATGCTCCTTGGGGACTCTGACACGGAAGTGCACACCCAGCACTGACGTGTCGTTGGCCTGAATGAATGAACAGATGGGGAGACAGACAGATGGACAGCATGGTTTCTTCACTCTGGACCACTGCCTGCCCAGGCTGGTGAGTCCTCCTGAGTGGGCTGCAGATTTTCCTTCACGACTCTTGACCCTTCGTTCAGAGCTCTTGCCTTTTCTGGTCCCCACGCCTCACCCCATAAGCCCTTAGCTGTTTTTTCTCTGTTGAAAGAGTCCTGATCCTTCACACCAAATACCTGTCAACCCCAGGCCCCCAAACCTCTTCTTTCCCTTTTCCCACATATTCTTACATCAAGTTCTGTCCACTAGAAATACGATGTGAGCTACTGATGCAGCTTTAAGTTCCCTCAAGAAACAGGTGAAAATAATTATAACATCTTATTTAACCCCATGTATCTAAATGCTATCATTTCTACATGTAATCAATATTTAAAAAATCAACGAGCTATTTCACTTTTTTTTTTTTTTTTTAACTATGTCTCTGAAATCCAGTGTGTAAGTGTGTTTGGCCAGGCCAAATTTTGAGAACTCAGAGCTACCTGTGGCTGCCCTAGCCGAAATCGGGCCCAGGCCTGTTGGGAAAGGAAGCACCTGGAATCAGGGCCGATGAACGCGGCCCAGGCAGCGGGAGGTGTGCTGAGCTTGGTGCAGCCTCCGTGTCCCCATCCGTGAGATGTGGGCATGAGGCCCACCTCCAAGGAGTGGCGAGGCGGGCCCGGAGCAGATGCACAGTGGCACCTGGGTGAATCTAGCTGTGTGGTGGCCTTGGGGTGTCTGAATAGGACCTGGATCTTACAGGTGCTGCAGCAGGTCTTGGACACGTGATGGGCAGGTGGGCGGTCCCTGACCTCTGCTGCTTTTCCCGTACCCCTCAGGGCCCAGCAGAGAAGAATGTATTCACTGTGCCCCAAACTTCCACTTCCAAGACTGGAAATGTGTGCCAGCCTGTGGCGAGGGCTTCTACCCAGAGGAGATGCCAGGCTTGCCCCACAAAGTGTGCCGAAGGTATGTGCGCCTTCCAGGCAGTCCTCCTGACTTAGCCCGAGATGGCCGGGGACGGGCGGTCAGCAGTGCCTGTGGAGGAGTGGCAGGAGGGCTGGGTCTGGTGGCCCCTGTCCCAGGGGCTGGGGGCAGGGTGTGCCATGTTCCACGACAGCAGTGGGTGCAGTGGGCAGACAGGAACCCGTTTACAGAGGAGGGGACCCTGCAGGTGGTGATGGCCAAGGTCACAGTCAGGCGGCGGCCCTCATGCCTTTGTTCACGTCTTGAGTATCTGTGGAGACCTACTGTGTATCAGGCGCTGTGTGGCTGGGAAGGCAGGACGCGGAGGACGGGGCCCTGACTGGCGGAGCCACCACCCCGGGGCAGACGCCAGGGACCCCACCTGCACCCCGGACCACAGTGTGTTCACGGCATGTCATTAAGGAAACCATGTGTAGGATTTGTTTAAAATTTAAATTGGATAATTTAGAGAAAATACAAGATCCCGACAACTTCCTCATTCTAAAGCCGCTTCCAGCCAGTGCAGAGATGTTATAACCCTGCTCGTTCTCCTTTTCTGTTCCCTCTCGTGTGTCCGCCAGGCGCACCATCCTTTTTTGGGGGCTCTGAGCAGTGTTCTCTCTTGTCACGGGATGCGGGCAGTGAAAGGAGAAGCCGTCTGCCTGGTGTCCTCTTGTCCTGCTGAATCTTGCCTCATGTCAGGCCTCATCACCTGGAGCCCAGGAACAGGGCAGGGCAGTCTGTCTCGTCTAGGCTGAGAGTGACGATGAGGGGTCTGCAGGCGACCTTGAAGATCATGATGGTGGGAGTGGGGAAGGGACCGTCCCTCTGACGTAGACTCAAAGAGGGAGCCTCAGGCGCCCACTTCAGAGCAGTGCAGGGAGACCATGCCCATCTGGCAGCTCACAGCTGGAGACCCACAGTGGGGATCTTTGAGATCCTCTCAGGCTGTGTTTGAGAACTCTTGTGGATTGTAACCTATTCTTTAAAACAAACAAACAAAAACCAACAACCTACGTGAGCAAATGAGAGACCACCTGCTCCTTGCGCTTGTGGGACCCACTCAAAGAGGGTTAGGGTTTCAGCCCCACTACCCAGCCACCTTCACCCAGCCTTGCTGAGTCCCATGAAGGACCCTCGGCACCGGTGTCTGAAGTAAAGTTTCATTTTAACCAGCCAGCTGGTTCCAGGGTGATTACCCTAAGTATGGCAGCCAGGGACAATGCGCATTACACAGTGATAATCAGTTTCGTTTGTCAGACACCCTGGCTCTCAGAGGATGCTGGGAATTCCCACGAGTATGGCAGACAGCCCCCGCAGGGCACCCAGAAGCTATGGGGTCCCCAGTGCCAGGAGGCAGGGGGCAGGCAGCCCCCGTGAGCCCCTCCTTGGCTGAGGAGGGCAGGAGCTCCCTGGGTGCTCACCTCCACGCGTGGCAAAGCTTTCAGTCTTGGAGGGTTGCTGGGGCTGACACAGCAGGCCTCAGAGATATACCCCCAGGAAGCGCCCTGCACGGGACACCTAGGTGGTGAATTGATAGCACTTCAGAGAATTCCCGTCTCCCGAGTCCCAGGGCTCTGGAGACCCCTCAGTGTGGATGCCCCTGGAAGGACAAATGGCCTTGGGCTTCTCCCCACCGAGGCAGCAGCAGCGTTCAGAGAGCCTGGCTTCCCGAAGACCCCAGAATGCTGAGTGCCGGCCAGGGCAGCCTCGAGGGAGCGAGCAGCTAGGCAGGGCTCTTGGGGAAAAGCCGGGCCGGGACGCAGGCCTGCCAGGTCGGCAGCCTGGATGCCGAGTCGAGACCCGTTATGCTGAGGCCCACGGCCGAGATCAGTCCATGATGAGTATCTCAAAAGAGGCGCCGGCCACCCCAAGACTTAGGAAGAGGACCTAGAAGAGGGAGCAAGGACCTCTTTGAAGACAGAGCAACTCGGTGGGGTGTCTGCCCCCCACCCTCCTACCACCCTCACTCCCCCGGCCCCTCCTGGGTATGTTGAGGCAGGGCAAGACTCAGGCAGGCCTTCTGCTCTGTCCTGTGCCCAGTGTGACGAGATATCTGCCATCTGACTGTCACCTGGAACAGCCTAAAGACGGGAGGCGGGGAAGTGGCCCCGGCAGCAGGGCAGGGAGAGGACTGCATCGGGCGCCACCCTGCAGAGTTTGGCAGGACAGTCGCTGTGGTGTTTGGGGGTGAGGGCAGAACCAGAGGCGTCTTGAAAGCCCCCTGCCCAAGAGGACCACCTGGCAGCCACGATAAGCTTGACGGAGGAGCCAAGAGGGTCTCTCGGAGAAACAGGGGCCCCGAGGCAGTTGGGGGAGCGGCCTGGTGCCGGATTTTTCCCCAAGCCGGGGCCTCCAGATCCGAGCCCAGGCTGACCGACAGCTGACCGAGGCCTTGTGAGGCCCTGAGAGAGAGCCCATCCGAGGCTGCCCGGGCTACTGCTTGCGGAGCTGGGAGATGCTGAAAAGTGGTGGAATAAGCTGCTGCGTTACGGTCATTGTTACATGGCCGAAGAAAACCGACACAGCTCCGGGGGCTGCCGCGGAGATCCTGGGGCTCCGTGAGGCCGAATTTGGAGAAGAAAGAGAGCTGTGCGCAGCCGGGTCTCCACTGTAGCCGCCCCCTTACTGTTACAGCAAAGCAACCCTCAGCCAGGGCCTTTGAGACAGCTGACCACCAATTACATGGCTTGGCTTGGCCCTAGCTCCTGTGTCGCTAGCAGACGTCATCTGTAACAGAAGCGGGAGTTGGGGGGAGTGGTCCCCTGTGCAGTGGCATGAGGGGCCTGTGGCCCGGCCAGAGCAGTGCAGCAGGACAGGGGCCAGGCCCTGGGATCTTCCCCAAAGTGCGCACGTCGGGCCCCGTCCTCCCGCTCCTGGGTCTGTGAGGGGAGAGGGCAGGCTCTTGCTGCAGGAGGAGGAAGTCGGAGGGGCTCCTGGATGCGGTTTGCCTGTGGGTTTACACGTTTATAAACATAAACTATGGGCCCGAACTCCAGTTTGGAGGTACCCTCAGTGACCCCAGGAGAACAAAAGCCACTTCTCATCCAGGCTGAGGGCCTGCTGTCCCGGAGGCCCTGTGCAGGCAGAATCCATGATGGCACCTGACCCCGGCACAGGCCCACTCAGGAAGGAGGCCTACAGTGAGCCTTGCTGTTGGCGTCTGGTCGCTGCCTGGGAGGTGGCATCTGTCCCAAGCGCTGCCCACCCGATGCCCCGCCCACCCTGTCCGAGCCCTGCTCCCGGGCCTGCAGCTGACAGGGAGCTGGGAGGAGGGTCTAGGGAGACCCAGTCCCTGGAGCTGGACACGGAGAAGGCAGCAGGTACAGCCCAGGTCCCTTCATGGCCCAGAGCAGGAAGGGGCGTCGGCAGGCTCTTCTGTGAAGGGCCCGATGGTGAGTCGTTTAGGCTTTGCTGGCCGTACAGTCTCCAGAGCAGCCGCTCAGCTCCAGTGCCACAGACGCAGCCACAGGCAGACGCAGATAAACGCACGGGACAGTGGAGTGCGCTGACCCTCCCACCCCCAAGGTCATGGCACTCTGTCAGCAATAGTCCTGGGTCCCGTCTCCGGGACAGGTCGAAAGGGCATCCCCACCCTCTGTCCCCAGGGGGGAGGCTGACGTCACCACAAAGGAGGCTCAGCCCCGGCTAGCCCCAGGGTCATGTCCGTCACATTCAGGGGAGCCTGGCCCCAAGCCCCAAGAGTCAATGCTGACATCCTCAGGGAGCCACCTGTGGCCACAGTGCCCAGGAGGGCGTCCAGGTGAGCCACGGGGAGGTTCAGAGACCTGGGCCCATCCTCAGCTCCGGGCATCCTCCTGCCAGCTGGCCGTGACGCCTCCGCGCTCCCAGGGCAATAGAGGAGATGCATGCAGATGCTTGGCCAGGGCCTTGGGCCGTCGTGGGGGGCACAGCTACAGCCAGGGGGTGCAGTGCGGGAGGGCGGGAGGGCTCTGGGAAGGGGCCTGGAGTGACTGTGTCTCTTTCCCATCTGGGAACCCGTGTTCCCCTGCAGGTGTGACGAGAGCTGCTTGAGCTGTGAAGGCTCCAGCAGGAACTGCAGCCGGTGTAAGACAGGCTTCACACAGCTGGGAACCTCGTGCATCACCAACCACACGTGCAGCAACGGTGAGCATGGGCGGGTGACGGCCCTGAGCTGCCTCAGGGCTGCCCCGGGCAGAAGAGAAAGGAAAAGAAGATGCAGGGACCGCAGTCCCTTGGACAGCCCTGTGGCCCCTCCTCTCAATGACCGCTTGGCTCTCCCCTGGGCCTCCTCCCTTCCCTTTAGGCCTCTCACATTGACCAGACAGGCATCTCCACTACCAGCACAGCTAGTGCGGGTCGGTCCGTTGAGTAACTCTTACAAATGATTCTGTTCTCGCACCGTTCCCACTCTCCTGCCATAAGCCCAAGGTGGCCTGGGTGTGGTGACATGTGTTAGGAGAGCCCAGACCTTGGAGGTCAAAGTCAGGAGGCCTGAAGGCTCTCAGCCTCCCTGCACATGTGTCAAGGCCCGCGTGTCCATGGGAAGGACCTGCCTCTGTGCTGTGGGAGAGCCCTGGTGCTCTAAGCCGACAGGGAGAGACAAGGATGGACTGTGAAAACAGGATCTCAGAGGAGACCAATTTGGGGATTCCGGGCAAGAGAAAGCTTGGCAGGGGACTCTGGCCTGGAGACCCAGTGCAGGGGCCGTGGGCAGACGTGCCATGGCGAGAAGGAGCCTCCATGGCTCAGCAAGCCTAGGGAGGAGCAGTCTGGGGCTGGCTCTGGGCACTGTGAGCTGGCAGGCGTGCAGGAGAGGGTAACCGCCAGTGCCATGCTGTCCGTGGGCACGGAGCTGGCACCGGCCCCGGCCTGGCAGAGCGTGAAGCCCGCAGAGAGCACCCTGGGCACGCCCTGTGGACCACAAGGTGGTTTTCTTGGCTTGCAGAATTATGTCCCTTCAAAGGCCAGGAAGCTCCTGATTTAGGAAGCCACCTCCTTGGGTTATGTATCCAGCCCGAGAAAGTGAGGCTGTCCCCGGGGTGGGGGGGTCTCCCGGTTCCCATGAATGGCAACATTCTCAAAAGCCAGCTGCCGAGGGGAGGGGCCAGCCTCCATGGCTCTTCCCTTCCCCCTCAGCCTTTCCCTCTTGGTGACCCCCTTCCTCCCCCATTTGGGGTGTCCCCGGGATCACGGCATAGCCTCCATCCTGCCCCTGCCAGGCCTGACCCCATCTTCCTCCCAAGTCCCCCAGCACAGCTGTCCAGGAAGAGGAACAGGGACCACGAGGGCTCCCTGGCACAGCCCAGGTGTCCCCAGGCCCCACCCACTCCCCTGCCACCCCGAGTCTGCTTTTGTCTCCCAGACTCAGCTCTGGCCTCTGCCACGCCAGGCCCACCACACATCACGGGGGTGACTGGGAGGGCTGCCGCCCCCGCTCCCACTATGTCCCCAGCAGAGTGGGGTGATGGGAACAATCCTAACTGGCCCCCAAATCTCACATGTCCCTCCTTTCTCCTTCCCGGGGGCCCAGCCGATGAGACCTTCTGCGAGATGGTCAAGTCCAACCGGCTCTGCGAACGCAAGCTCTTCATCCAGTTCTGCTGCCGCACCTGCCTCCTGGCTGGGTAGGGGCGCCCGGCCGCCCGCACAAGGCAGGGTCCCTCCTGTCTGTCCATCCACCTTCCTCCAGGCTGTCGGCCAGAGTCCGTTTCAGGAGTGGTACCCTGCATCTGACAGCTTTATCTCCCCAGGAGCGAGGTCCTTCCGCGGCATCTCTGGGCGCCCAGGCCAGGTGGGTGAGGGCTTTGAGGAGGTGTCGGCAATGTCCTCTCACACCCTGCTTGCTGGCTCCATTCTTCTGGCTAACTCACAACGGGAACAGAACCAATTCCAGGAATCCACAGCTCCGGCTTCAGAGCAGCTTCTGGGACCATAAGTTTACTGAATCTTCGAGACCAAAGCAGAAAGGCAGGATGCTTGGTGCATTGCTCTTCTCCCCGTGCTTTTGGGCAGCCCGCAGACCCCTGGGCTGTGCCCCTGCGTGATGGAGGGCTAAGGGGCATACCTGCTCATCTGCCTGCCACAGTCTGGGGGATGGTCTGATCAGACTGTAAATAAAACGGATTTCGGGGCAAACGTGTGACCGCTGGGGATGGAGCATCTATTTCTCCATAATCAGCGATTTCTGAAACTGCAGCCATGGCTTAGAAAGTCTAATCCCAAACGGATGGGTTGGAGGGACCCTCCTTCCTCTGCCGCCCTTTCCTCTGAGGGAGCTGAAGGTCCCTGGTCTCTGCATCCTGTCTGTGTCTCTGGGAGTCTCATGGCCCAGATGAATGGTCACCTCTGCCTAACACAGGAGGCGTCCTGGGGGCTGGCCAAAAGGTGCCCCAACGACCAAGCAATTCTTCCTACCAAAATGTAAACCCAGCCTGTGAACTGTTAATTGTCTGTCGTGTCCCATTTTGTGGAATTGCTTTGAAAATACATTGGCCCTGCTTTTCAGGAGACTTGTTCTTAAGGTGGGCGCCCCTGTGTCTGTGTGTGCTATGAGCCTAACGACATGGCTGGATTTATTTTTGCCAAACCTGTGTGGGTATTTTATAAGCTACGTGTTCTAATTTTTACCAATGTTAATTATTTTGACAAATATTTCATATATTTTCATTGATATGCACAGATCTGCTTGATCAAGTCCCTTTAATATGGGAGTAACATTTGCCTTAAATTTTTTCGAGCTCGTTCTCCATTTCGTCCTGCTCCCCTCTTTGACTGTAACACATTTGACGAGTCCCCTGTCAGCTGGGGGGGAGCCCAGCTGTTGTTTGTTGAATCCACAACTCCGAAAATGAAATCCACAAAGCAAATACAGTGTTAACCCTAAATTAATAAAAGAGTTAACAGTTCATGGCAAAGGAGCCTGTGTTTCTTCCCAAGGCACAACGTTGAAACGTGGGTGCTGGCCAGTGTGTGAAATGGCTTTACGTGTGCTTTTATTTCAAGGGCTTTGAGCTTTAGCGAATAATGCTGCCGCAAAGTCGTGGGAGAATCCCAAAGTTCCAGCTCCAGGGTGTCCTTTGGCAAACAGACCCTCTTCGGGCCACGAAAGCCCAGACTGCAAGCCTCTTCACCTAGCCACGAGTGTGATTTCATTAGGTTACAGCTTGTCTTCCGCACAGTGGCTGAAATCCCCGCACCTGTGGGCTCCGCGCTACATGGGATTTTTACCCTGGCCTCTCTGTGAGGTCGGAGTTGTACTTACTAGGAGTCCTTTGTCTGCAAATATAGGAAATGCACTGACTAGAACTGACTTGGGAAAAGACAAAAGTCGGGGAGGGCCGTTGTTTTGGGATTTCAGGGTTGTTTCGGAATTTCAGGAAAGGTGTAGCCGGGGCTTGGGAGCCCTGGGACCAGCATTGTCACCTGGACCCTCATTGCAGCAGTGCCTCCTCTCTGTCCACTTGATGGGACAAATGACAAGACCACTCAGAGCTCCCAAGAAAAATTGGTGCCCACCCAGCCCTCTAAAGATTTCTGAATCTGCTTCGGGCCCGGGTTCGTCTGCCTTGCATCCGTGTTTGCCCAGTTCCACCAGTTCTGGCCACAGGGACACGTGGCCCCGGAGCCCTTCCAGTGACCGGAGGTGGGGAGCAGCGTGCAGCTCTCGGAAAGCGGGGGAGGCTATGCGACCAGCCAGCTAGCTGCCGCCAGGAGCAGGACTTGGCCCGAGTTGTCAAATGTGACGTAATGAAGGACTGAGTGAGTGTGTTTGGGAGACAGTAGCCAGGACTGGGCAGAATATCAGTAAGAATTCAATCTCCACCAGGAGCCTGATTGAATTAATACCAGCAACTTGCTAAGCACCTCTGGTGCAGGGCACCATTTTAGCCCCTAGAGCTTTTTGTCCACTGAGAATTCATGGTTTAACATGTTTGCAACTGAACCAGAAATCAAGTCCTGTTATTACCAAAGGACACCACCTACAAGAAGGCCAGCGGGCAGCACATACCCGCCCGGCAGTGGCTGGGCCAGCCTGTGGCGAGTGCAGTGCGGAGTTGAGAAGGTGTTCACAAAGGCCTAAGAACCAGTCACCCCCTTGTTAAAAGGGACTGACCACATAAAATGCCTGTTTGCAAATGGTCTGACCTTAAGATTATCTGGACTCTGTTGGGGCAGGACACGTCTATGGATTTTGTTTTGCATGATGGACTCGTGTCCTCTAAACCCCTCATTTCACAGACCGAGGCTCGTAGAGCTGAAGTGACTTGTCTGGGGCCGCCCACTGACGAGGGTGCTCCATCGTGTGCCCCGGGAGGGAGGCTGGCTCTTGGCAGGAGGGATGGTCACTTCTGCAGCTGGCCAAACATTTTAAGCTGTCTTTATTGCCAGGGGATGACATTTTTCTGACCTTGTCCCCAAAGTCTTTGGCACCTCACAGTGGTCCCCAGATGCACGTCCCCATCCCTCCCAGGCCACTGCTGATTTTATACGTTGTACCTCTTCAAAGGGCTGGGGAGAATTGCACTTTTTACAGGAGATGCACTTACAGTGGGAAGGAGGGGGGTGAATGGAGCTTTAAGTACAAAACGGTGGGGCGGGGAGGGGGGCAACATAGTCTAAATGTGGCCAATGGTGCAGTTCCCTTGAACTTGGGGGACTGCCCTTCATTGCATTTAAATCATTGATAATGTGGCTGGAGGAGCCTTAAGCCTGCAAGCTTGGGGCACACTGGGGCCCCTGGGAGCAGGTGAGGGGTGGAGGTTTAGATCACAGGACGCAAAGGGGAAGGAGGTGGAGAAGTGAAGTAAAAGGAAGGTTATTTTAATAAGAACAAGCAAGGGTGATGGAAAGTAATACACCATAGTCATTCTCTGGCATTGTAAGGTTCTGCCCAGCCGGCTGAGAGGCAGCTAGGGGCCGACTGTCATGAGAAAGGAGTTTGCATCCTGTCCCAGACTTCTCGGCTGCTTTCCTTCATGAGCCAAGGCTTTATCCGTCCTGCTGGTTGTCTCAGGCTGTCCTGACGCCCTAGGCTCTGCGCCTTGTCCGTGCACGGAACAGCACCCCCTACATGGCACAGCAGCTCCTACCACCCAAAGCTGCCCCCCCCCCCGGGCACCCCCCACTCTGTATCAGCTACACTAAGGGTGGTCCTGTTGAGCAGATGGGCACCAGCGTGCCCAGAGCAGAGCACATCTCATTGCAAAGACAATGGTTCTCACCCAGGGGGTGATTTTTGTCTCCCTGGAGACGTCTGTACTGACATCTAGTGGGTAGAGGCCAGGGATGCTGCTAAACATCGTGCAATGCACAAGACGGTCCCCACAGCAAAGAATTATCCAGCCCCCAAAGGTCAACGGTGCCGAGGAGGCTGAGAAACCCTAGCCAAGAGAAATGAAATCAAAAAAGAAAACCTGTTCTCAACTTCCTAGAGATACCCTAAAATGAATAAAACCAGCTATAGCTTATGTCCCTGTTTGTGAGCTGAAGCAAGGGAAACCCGTACTACTTTCCTTTTTTAAAGTAAAGAAATAAACCCTTCTGTTTTTTGTTTTGTCTTGTTTTTGTTTCTTAACATCTTTATTGGAGTATAATTGCTTACCCTTTTGTTTTTAATTGAATAAGAGAAGGGCTTGTCAAATCAGCTCTCTGGTCTAAGGACTCCACCTGGTGGTTCTCTCGGGAATGAAGTGAAGTTTGGATTGTTTTCTTTATTTTGAAACAATCTATCGCAAGGCAAAATTACAGAAAAGTTGCAAGTACAGTACAAAGAAATGTTTTCCTGAACAATTTGAAAGTAAATTACCGATGTAATATCCTACCACCTCCTAAATACTTTAAATTATTTCCCATAAACAAGGATCTTCTCCTACATAACCATGGGGATCAGGAAATTGGTATATTCCTACCATCAATCCTCTGACTGGATTCAAGTCTTGCCAGCTGTCCTGATAATGCCCTTAGCAAAAGGGTCCAATTTAGATCACACTCTGCATGTACTCATCAGGGCTCTAGCCTTCAATCTAGAACAGTTCCTTGGTTCTTTGACTTTCATGACCTTGAACCTTTTAAAGACGACCAGCCAGTTATTTGTAGGCTGCCCCTCAGTGTGTGCTTGTCTGAGGTTTCCTCATATTTCCATTCAGGTCAAGCGTCTTTGACATGAATCTCTCCGAAGCCACGCTGTGTTCTTGTCATTGCATCCTAGTAGGTGATACAAGACTTTGACTTGTTCCATTATTGGTGGTGTTAACTTTGATCAGGTGATGAGAGTTCCGTCCCCTACGCACCCCCGCCCCTGGGCTATGAAGTGATGCCTGCTAAAGGATGTCCACTATCCAACACTGTGCTGATGATCCCAGCCAAAGCAATAGGGCAAAACATAAAGAACTGGTATAAGAATTGGAAAGGCAGAAATAAAACGTTCATTATTCTCAAAGAGCAGGGTTAGGCATGTAGAAAATCCAAAAGAACAGTTATAGATTAATGATTAGAATTAGTAAATGACTTCAGCAAGACTGCTGGATACAATGCCAGTATCAATTGTATTTCCACTGTAAATCAACTGTATTTCAATATACCAGCACTCAATGATTAGAAAATGGAATTTTTAAAATAGAAGATACTGTTTACAACAGCATCAGAAACTATTAAATAACTAGAATAAATCTAGTAAAAGAGGTATAGGACCTCTACACAAAAGCTATAAAACACTAAGAGAAACCAAAGAAGATCTAAATAAATGTTTATGGATTGGAATACTCAATATTGTAAAGATAAGAATTCCCTTCAGGGACTTCCCTGCTTGCACAGTGGTTGAGAATCTGCCTGCCAATGCAGGGGACACGGGTTCGATCCCTGATCCAGGAAGATCCCACATGCCACGGAGCAACTAAGCCCATGTGCCGCAACTACTGGATCCTGCGCTCTAGAGCCCATGAGCCACAACTACTGAGCCCACGTGCTGCAACTCCCGAAGCCCGTGTGCCTACAGCTCATGCTCCACAATAACAGAAGCCACCGCAAAGAGAAGCCCATGCACCGCAACGAAGAGTAGTCCCTGCTCACCACGACTAGAGAAAGCTCACACGCAGCAACGAAGACCCAAGGCAGCAAAAAAAAAAAAAAAACTCCCTTCATCCACAGATCCAATACAATATAAATCAAAGTATGGGTTCATTTTTAGATACAAGATTTATCTAAAATTTCTATTAAAATGCAAAGGGCAATAATAACCAAGACAATGTTGAAAAACAAAGTGGCTCTTTTTTTGAGGTGAATATCAAGTTTTAAAATAGAGCTTAGGGCTTCCCTGTTGGCGCAGTGGTTGAGAGTCTGCCTGCTGATGCAGGGGACATGGGTTCGTGCCCCGGTCCTGGAAGATCCCACATGCCGCGGAGCGGCTGGGCCCGTGAGCCATGGCCGCTGAACCTGCGCGTCCGGAGCCTGTGCTCCGCAACGGGAGAGGCCGCAACAGTGAGAGGCCCGCGTACCGCAAAAAAAAATAGAGTAAAACAGATCTTATTATTATAAAGACAGTAAGATGGTATGCAAAAATAGGCGACTAAACCCATGGAACAGAATAGCTAGTCCAGAAGTAAATCCTCACATATTTAGACATTTGATTTATGAAAAAGGAGGTAGCACTGTGGCACAATGGTGAAAGGATGGGCTTTTCAATAAATGGTGCTGGATCAACTGAATACCCAGATGAGGAGAAAATATATCTTGATCCCTACCTCAGAGTATGTATGAAAATCTATTCCAGACAGATTGCAAATCCAAATGTGAAAGGGGAAACAATAAAGCTTTTAGAAGAAAAGATTTATAATTTTGGCATAGGCAAAGATTTCTTAACGAGGACTCAAAAAACATTAACCATATAGGGAAAAGTTCGTATATTAGA